CTCCGAAACGCACACAGAGAGCGGTCAACGCCAACTGACGTCGAGGGACAGGATGCACTAGTCTAAACTTAAACTTAAACCAGTCTAATGCTGAACCACGAGATTGATGGGGCAAGTCCAGCGACCATCACTTCGATGCTTCTAGTTTCTAGAACAGCCGCTAGATAGCGCATGATTATTGATTTGGTGCTCCTCAAGTTGATCGCAAGCACAATGTTTCAGTTCGTTGTTTGTTAGTCACTAGTGTTTCCCTCCTTCGTAGGCCCTAACAATGTCATAGGCCCTAGGCCCTGTGCCTGCAGTGCCTGATGGGAAATCCGGCACTGGTGAGGGCTGAGCGACTGCCTTCCTTCAGGCCGGCACCCAGCCACCTTCCCATTCCTATCTGACGTGAACGAACGCTCGGCTTAAGCAATTGAGGGGGGAAAAAAAAGAACAGCACAGAAAAAAAAAACATATCAGGTCTTCGACAAACAGTGACTGAAGAAATTCAGACACCCGGTGTCCCAGGGACTGACTCATCGAAAGAACCGGATAATTAGAGCAATGAGGCGACTAAGAGATGCGACACAACACAAGCTCGAGGATAAGAACTAATTTTTCTCAGACAGAGCCCCACGCTTTCCCTTATGCACTGGTGAATCATGATAACACAGAGAGAGGGCTGTTTAACACACAAGGATGTGAAAAAGTAACAGGTCTGAGTTGCTGTTCTACAGCAGTCTTCCCAACAGCGGGCTGACAGGCTGTGACCGACTGACACTCCCTACCTCCACGTATCCCGAAAGAGGAAAGTCTTTCCGGAATGGATGTCCCTCGAACCCGTAGTCTGTGAGGATCCTCCTCAGATCTGGGTGATTGGCAAAGAAAACCCCAAACATGTCCCATATCTGAGGGCACAGCAGACATGACACTATAAATATGGGAAACAGGTTAAAATGATGACATCAAACTGGCCGACCCACCCCGCTGATGGGCCCGTTTCCATGTCATGTTCATGCCTGCAAGGGCTCAGCCGCTGTGCCAGATACAGCCGTGACAACGCAGCGCTCCCCCACAAAAAGTATTTCGATGAATTACAACTGAGGTACATGCCTTTTTTTAAAAAGTATTTTAAAATTTAAGAGCTCAAACTCAGCAGTTTTTCCCAACGGAAATCGGATGCAAATACCAAAACTAAACCACCGCTAGCTGTTCCATACATTGACACATGATGCCAATAAAGTTATTTTGTAGGGACCTACAGATTATATAATGGGTTGTGAGAATATATATGGCATACAAATGCAGTGCATATGCGTGTGACTGGACCTATTAGCTCTGCTGCCTTGCAGCTCTTGGGTCCAGGGTTTGATTCTGGAACGGGGTGCTTCTGTGTGGAGTCTGCATGGTCCCCAGTGTTCGTGTGGGTTTTCACCGGGTGGTCAGGTTTCCACCCGCGTGCTGTGTGTTCTTCCAAGAAAGGACGCTAACAACCAAATGCAATTCCCCTTTCTATATCTTTCCTGCCTTGATCAGTTGGCATTTAGACACTGCCTCGGTGTGCACGTGTCCTGTGGGTGGCTGGCACCGGGGTGCAGTCATACCTTCTGCCCTGAGTTTACAGGAGAGGCTTTCTGTTCTTTCCAACCTTTTCCAGGGATATGTGACTTTCCGACAGCTGACAACAGATGAATAAACATGGAGTCTGCTGAAATGAAACCCCGACTGGCCTGGTCTCTTACCTCTCTCTCATACCAGTTGGCCGCCTGATGGACTGGCACTGCAGAGTCCACTGTGGTCAGCTCGTCAGTGTAAGTCTTCACACGAATCCGGGAGTTATAGCGCAAGGACAGGAGGTTGTACACTATCTGTCGTTTTATGAAAAAAGAAAGAAAACAATTTAAAAAAACACATTATGCCGCTTAACATCAGCTGCCCATTCAAAAAAAGATTAAGACCTGTGCTAAATTTTAAATGCCTCTCATTACATCATAGAAAATGCCTTCATGGAGTGGATTTGACCTCTTCAAATAGCTTCAGAATGTTTTTCTTAAACAAATGGGCCTTCTTTAACAAAGCATAAGGCATTTGAGATGTGGTTCCAGACAGTTATTGCTCAGAACGGTGAGCATGTAATCTACAGCATGCCCTTGTCAAATATGGATAAGCCATTGACTTTGTGTCGTCAGAAGTAGGGTGAGGAGCAGATGCTGGCTGTCGCCTTACAAACATTGAGATATAGGTGAGGATTCAGAGCTGATCACCAGGGTAAAGCAACACTGCCTATGGACAAGATGGCGGCGGCTATCAATCCCCAGGGTACTGGGTGGGAATTGAACCTGCCCTGCTGCACTGGTGCTGGCGACTCACGGGGACAAAGCGGGCCCACGGGGCATGCGGTACCTCGAAGCGGTTCTGGCGGCTGGGGATGTCCACCGCGGTCAGGTCGGCCAAGCTCTTGAACTGGGCGTTGGTGTGGTCGCGCAGGAACGTCAGCACAGGGATCACGCCGTCCGGGTGGATCATCACCTCCAGCTCGTTGAAACACGTCACCTGACACCACGCAGTCGGACAAAAACCAAATACAAAAGGTGAGGTGGGAGCGTGACCATGAACCACCGGGCTGGAGGCTTTCCCCCTTCTTCAGATGGTGGGGATCCGCTCGCCGTTTCCTGTCACCCCACCCAGCGGATTCCTGCCGCCCCCGTGTTGCTGCACGAGAGGAAGGAAGACCTGTGCGCGCACACACACTGCTGACACTCCCTACTGTCATAAACATTCGTAACCGGACATGCTGCCAGCTCACCGGCCTCAAGGAGACATAGACATGGGCAGTACCACGGCAACTGAAGACAGCTCATCTCCTCTGGCACTTGGCAAAAGGTCGCTACTTGGGTTGGTCATGGAAATTTAAAGCAGGGGTCTCCAACCCTGGTCC